TTAGTACTAAAACAGAGTCGGGCCGGCGCCCGTTTTTGTGGTCGTGCGGGTCGTTTTCAGACTCTAAAACAGCGTCGCTTGTTCTATGCGGGTTATTTCTCTTTGAAAATTCATTACTTTCAAAATTAAAAAATTATTAGAGAATGTCTGATCTGAAGGAATGGGGGATATTGTCTAAAATAAACACTTTTGAAAGCCAAAAAAACGCGATATTACAATCTCTGGGAAAATTTTAACATGTAGAATTTTAAATCTTTATATAGCTAATTAATTTGAATGTTTGCTAATAAAAACTACTAAAAAACGTGTTTTCGAAATGGGGGAAATAAAAAATCTTTTTTGACTTATTGCCCCGCCCTATACCATGTAGTAACTTGTATTTATCAATTCAGGTTTGATTAATGGGATTGTTAACAATAAATTAGGAGCCTTCACATAACTTGACCATTAATCTGCACAATAAATGCAGGCAAATTTTAAAGAGACTGTTCAGGAAAAAAGGTTTCTTTACCTAAAAGTAAAAGGGGTAAAAAACATACGATTCGTATTACTTTCAGTTAAGATAAGAATGGATATCTACACAATCTTAAATATTTGAAAAATTTCCAAAAGTTACTAATTATTATAGACTTAATATTCACGTGTAGAGTAAACTGACAATTTCCCTCGTTTTATATGGAACATAAAACCACGGGACTTCAAGAGTCAATTTTATAGAAAAAACTAAAATTAAGAAGAAATCCATTTTCATGAAGAAAAATAGGGATATCATAATTTTTCGTTCTCAGATAATGGTCATGTCGTTGTGATTCTCCGAATAAAGAGGATTGCTGAAATAAGGTCTACAATTCCTTTGAGGTAATATTAAATGTTTCTTGTATTTCATTGTAAACAGTATAACCACACATTTTGAGTCAATGCAGTGGCAGCATAGAGTATTATCAATTAGATTTAGTGGTGTTTTTCATTATATGAAACAGAATTATCAATTGTATAGTATAGAATTAAGTAAATTTGCAGTGGCATAGACAATTTTTGCATAACGGGGTTTGCACACTAATTTAAGTTGTTCACCACTGACACATTTTTTGACAACAAAATAAATTATTGTTTTCATTTAAATTTTTTTAAATATGAAAAACCATGAGAGGTAGAGCTGGTATCTCTAAAGATCATATATATATATTAAAAAAGGGGATCTTTAAGGGAAAGTTTTTTTTGTAAATTGATGAGACGATGCCGTATCTTTAAACAGAGACGTAATTTCAAGTGATCCTCCATTAAAAAAGTAGCAAGTGCGATTTGCAACGGTACCCTCTATGACTTTATGAGCAACAATAACGAAGATCTCATCATGTTTCTTATTTAAAAGTGTAAAATTCAAATCCAAAAGACAATTTTATGAAAAACATCCTTTGAAGAAACCACAAGTTTCATCCAATAAAATAAGAATATCTCATTCCTCCCGAAATAAGACAAAGGTTTCTATCTACAGTCCCTTTAAATTACTGAGGAACCGTCTACACTAATATAAATTCTATGCATTTGAAATAAAGTTCTTGTGTGGTCTTTTATATAAATGGTTTTGTGTTGCGTCCGCCCTGAAAATTGTAAATACAAGGAGAATATACAATAAATTAACTAGTTAAACCTGGGTTATAACCTTGAACAATTAAAATGAAGAGTTTGTGGAACTGTTAGATACATATATCTACTGAATAGTGTACAAGGATAGGTACACAATTAGGTTCATAGATAAAAGATTTTTTAAACGAGCATAATAATCCCAAGAAACTTTATAAACTATCTTTATTCAAGTAATAATTGTCTTTTTGTTTGCTTGGATGTCTGATCAAAAACCCTGGGCCGATTTGCCTTAAATTTCGATTAGTCAGAATTCGTTAAAATTCTAAGTTGAGTAGGTTGACTTTTATAGGCAAGCCTACAGGCAAAGTGGGGTTCCCAATTTGTTAGGGGGGGGGGGGTTAAAACACCATCCACTCCCTAGAGATAATCACAGATAATGTCGTTTTTCCATCTTGTTGAGTTCTGTAACATTGCTTGTCTTTGCTGCGAAAAATCCGCAAGTAACATTGATAAGTAGGAACAATAAGAATTGAAATACACGCACCCCTGACCCTTTAGTAAAAGTAAATTCAACCTAAAGTCTGACCACGTCAACCTTGTCGCACAAGCTAGTCCTATTGAGTGTCTGCTTTATTTACCCAATGTCCGGGCGATACAGTACAAACTGGGACCGGAAATTCAAATGTACTACGGCTGCTTGTGAAGATTAACACGAGGATATTTCTATAATTACCTTTTCTCAGACAAAGCTTTAAAAAGTACCGTTTTCAAGCTCTAAATAGAATGTCGCTTTAAATTAGGTCACCTGTCTCTTTAAGGGAGGATTTAGTTGTGTTTGCTTTAAACCGAACACGATGAAGTTAAAAAATATATTTTTTATTTACTAAATAAACATGGCTGACCACAAAAACTGGGAGTCAATCAATTTATCTTTTAATATTCCCGCCCCCTGTAGTATTCAGTCAGCTTTAGACCCACAATATTTCAACATGCTCCCCTCTCTAGGGACCATATTCATTTTCATTATTTTGAAAGGTAAAAAAAATTATTGTGTTCTTTAATTTATTAGCCAAGATCTGTTGCTTTGATTAAGCAAGTAAGTAATTGTTTATTTATGAAATATAACAAAAACATACAAAATTAAGTGTTTCAAGAGAAAATATTTGAAAACCTTTAAAGAAAGAGGTTGTGGGAATATTTCCCCCCCCCCCATTCTAAAACATAAAAGGAAAGGAAAGGAACGTTACATAATTATTGTTTACATTAGATTTAATATAACTTGTAGTGGCTTGTTAGCATTTTCGACGATGAACAACTTTAATATGCCCAGCGAGCTTAGCTTCCCTTTTAAAAATTTAAACTTTTTAATTTTGCTACATGTTCTTTGTACATTATAAACTGATTTTTGAAGATTTCTTTAGTTGATTTCCAAAACATTTCTGTACATCAATTGTTAGAGCAATGTTGGGGCCGGATCGGTTCAGCCATTTTGATGCTTATAATTACATTAGACACAAACAAACCAACGAACACCCAGAAAAGTCAAATATAAAAATGTTATAAATTGGCATGGTTACAATTTTGGGCGTAGACAGAAATAAATGTATGTGGGGTGGGGCGAAATTTGTTTTTGCCCCCCCCCCCCAAGCAGCTCAAAGGGGAGGGCAAAATTGGAACTTTTAATTCAAAACATTTTGCTTCTTGGATATTTTAAAGGTACACATACATTCCAATTACCTTACACGTACTACTTTATCGCCCCTTAAAACAAGAGTAGCAGAAAAAAACAGTAAATTATTTTTTTTATGTTCTTCACTCTACAGTTTCAGATTTTAGAAGTTATACTTCTGAGTTCTTAGGGGGGGGGGCTATAGCCCCCAATTTACAGGTCTAGGGGGCACTGCCTCCCCCTGCCCCCCTGTATACGCTTTTGCATGTTTATTCTATTTTGATATTTATTGAAATTGGGACATTTAGTTTCTAATGCTTGTATTATGATTACCATGGAAAGCATATTAAGAGAAGCTGTAAGCGTTATTTCAAGTGACCCTCCATGCAAATATGACAATTTTCCCGATTCATAAAGATTCAAGAATATCAATCTTTAGAATTTTAAAAACTGAATTTTTTCAATTTGGATTTCTTTACAAAAGTGACTTGTTCAGGAAAACTTATGGAAATTATTAGAATTGAACACTTTTAAACCTAGAAAAACGACAATATCTTCCAAATTTTTGATCAATTGAGCATTCCCATATTTGAATGGAGGGTTACTTAAAATGACGCTGACTGTACCTTTAACCATTTTACCAAAACATGGATGAACAAAGAGAATTTTAAATTTGAATGCACACTAGAAATCTATAGGTTTCTATAAATGTTAAAAACCTTTCCACGGTTTGACTGGATAATGGGTCTTATAGTTTTCAATACAAATACATTTCCTGTTAGATGCAAGCCTGACTTTTAGTTTTGTTTTTACTTCAATACTAATGCATAGGATTAAATTTAAATTGCGGATCTTTAGCTATTTGCAGAAAATATTTGCAAACATTTTTATCCTCTCTTGAACCAGCGAAAGTTATAAGGGTTATAAATACTCTCTAAATAATTTTATATAATTTTTTTTCTGAAAAATAACATTTTGTTTTAAATACAAAAAAAGTTTATTTTAAATTGAATAATATTCACCCCTGGTCTATGGTCATGTTTTGATATTTTTAGGTAGTGTTTATACTTAGGTTTAAAGTTTCAAATGACAAAAGGCAAGAGTTTCTAAAGTTTCCACAAAACTTTAAGTAAAGGATGCTCATCCAAGGAAAAGAGTTTTAATATTTTAAACGACTGCACAGCTTGCATAGTGCACACTGAACACTGCACAATGAATATTGCAAACTGCATGCTGCACATTGTACATTGCCTATAGTGCATTCTGTAAACTGCACACTCACAACTATACTCTGCAAACTGCGCTTTGTAAGAAAGACTTTGCAATGCACATAAATGTACAGCGTACACTATTTACATTATGTACACAATACGGTGTTTACACAGTACTGTATGTACACTGTCCAATATGTACACAGTACACTTCATTACAGTAAGTACACAGTATATTGTACAGTATGTACACAGTTCACTCTACAGTATGTGGACAGTACACTTTACAGTATGTACACAGTACACTGTATAGTATGTACACAGTACACTGTACGGTATGTACACAGTACACTAAACAGTATGGTACACATTACACTTGACAGTATGTACACAGTACACTTTACTGTATACAGTTTGTACACATTACACTGAACATTATGTACACAGTACACTGTACAGTATTTGTATAGTACACTGTACAGTATGTACACATGTACACCGTATTGTATGTACACGTACACTATCACAATATGTACTCAGTACACTGTACAGTATGCTCTTAGTACATCATTGTTCAGTATGCACAGGTGACAGGAAGGGTTAAAAAGCCGAGAATGAGGGGAAGGTTGGAAATGGTCAAATAATCTCGTACTGTGTTTAAGACCGGTGCGTGCAAAGCGACGAAATAAATCTTCAACATCATTTCAATACTCAAATTTTGCTAATATCCAATATATGTTCACTATTTTGCCATTAATAGAGCTTGAGTGTTTAAGTAAAAACATTAAAGGTTCTAAAACAGTTTCTGTTTAAAGTCATATCCGAACTACTTTTGCCAATTATTTTTCTTGATGTGACGAGTGGGGGAAGGCAGGCGGCCATAAGCCACCACTATTTCTCCTTCCGTGCCACATATTAGCTTTTTTCTCTTCCGGCAGCCATGAGCCACCACTATTTCCCCTTCCGTACCACCACATTTGACTCTTCCGGGCAAAACTACTTTTTTAAATGCTATATTGAGGGCTTTTAAAGTCTGATTTTAAAAAATCCAGCCGCGTCACTCAAAAAAGCACAACTCAACCCATTTTTCAATTATACTTAAGATTAATATTTTGTGTGTTGAATTCTTAAACTGTTTTACAATGAAATTTTTGACAAATTTGACTGAGTATTGCATCTTGAAATATCACAAAGTCTAATGATTATTCAATTACTGACTCATTATACTAAATCCATCTTAAAATCACTCATTAACCAACTTTGTGATATTTCGAGATTTTTAGAGGGTGACCCAAATAAATCACTCTCATAGACTAAACATACAATATACGCCCTTGCAAGTATACAACGATTTCTTTTAACAGTATATTTCCTAGGCGTTGAACCATTTTCTGTGAAGTGTCCGCCAAGATGGGAGGGGTTCAGTGAATCTTTAAACTGTTACAGGTGAAAAATACAACTTGTTTGATCATTCGTGTTAATTTTGACTTTAAGCTTACACGAAATTTTTTTTAAAATTTTGCTTTTTAAACACCTTTCCTATTCCTTAACATTGTGCAAAACTTAAACTTTGACTAAAAGTAAGCAATCCTGTTGAAAAGTTCAGTGGGTCTAAACTTTAGAACCTATTTAACCACTTAAATGTAGCTTACTTTTTCTTGGATTATATTGATCGACGGATTTGTTAATGAGAGATCAAAAAAGGACGAAAAATATTCTGATTTAGACAGGATCTACTTCGTTGTGGGTAGTTTGACCTGGACTGGTTTATAGAGGATGTATACAGAGGAGCAGGAGGATTGGGATATAGCAGAGAAAAACATGTAAAACCTGGGAGAATTACTGGTTTTAACTGGTTTATCTAGGATGTATACAGAGGAGCAGAAGGATTGGAATATAGCAGAGAAAAACATGTAAAACCTGGGAGAATTACTGGTTTAAACTGGTTTATCTAGGATGTATACAGAGGAGCAGGAGGATTGGGATGCNTTATCTAGGATGTATACAGAGGAGCAGAAGGATTGGGATATAGCAGAGAAAAACATGTAAAACCTGGGGAAATTACGGTATAAACTGGTTTATCTAGGACGTATACAGAGGAGCAGAAGGATTGGGATACGGCAAAGAAAAACATGTAAAACCTGGGAGAATTTCTGGTTTAAACTGGTTTATCTAGGATGTATACAGAGGAGAAGGAGGATTGGGATACAGGAGAATAAGGTTGTAGAAACCTGGATGTATTACTTTTTTAAAATGGTTTATCTAGGATGTATACAGAGGAGCAGGAGGATTGGGATACAGCAGAGCAAACTTGTACAAACCAAGGAGGATCACTGGTTAATATTGAGAGTCAGCCTGTTAAAGATTATATTGCATCCAGGTGGGAAACCAGGGTCAGAATTTTATGTATTGGAGAGTTTGCTGAACTACCAACTGGGGGTTCAAATTTAAACCACCAAATCATACTTAAATATCAAGGAAGGATTTGATTTGTTGATTCAAATTTGAACTGGCGGTATGCAAAACGCAGTTCTAATTTATAAAATATGGATCAAAGGGTATATATTAAAGAAATACGTCCTAAATTATATGAGACTCAAATTTTTACAATTGAAAATGTCTTTTACACAATATTTTTAAGCCCTAAACAGGACAGAGGAGGGGTTGTTAAAATTTCTTGAAAAGTTTAAAAGTAGCTAACTTTTATATCGGAGCTTTAGAATAATTTTTTCCATAAAAAAGAATAAATCAGGTGAATGATAGGAATTCTTCTTCAATTTTTTTTAAGAATACTTGTTTCATAAATTCATTTATTTTTAGGGCAGGGAAGACCAAAGAAAGTATGTGGATTGGCCTAAGGTAACCTTGAAGATTATTTATCACATACATATATAAATTTACAATGCATTATTAACTTTTTTCAAATGAATTTTATTTAAAAATATAAAAATCAATGCTACATATATTGATCATTCAATTATTTAAGGTTGATGATCAGCATGGATGGAGAATTAAAATGGAAATGGAGAAATGGCAAAAAATACACAAATACATTTATGTAAGGATTAAAATAGTAAAAAAATAGCAATTACAGATAGCATACCCTAATATTAATAGGGATCTATGTTTTTTTTTTAATGTTGTTCTGATGAAAAACTAAAGTTTAGTGTTTTAGTTTTTCAAAAGAACTGGATTTTCCAGTTTGTGGGTCAAAAAACAGATAATTGGGGATTGATGAACTGCATGGAGTTGATCCAACCCTACCTAATCTGACCCATATCCTTCTAAAACTAATAAAAACTTTACTCTAGATCATGGGCTCCTGGAGAGCCCACAGTAACAACAGCACCTGCTTGTGCTGGGATTGATAAAGATGGAAACATGTTTGCTAGCAAGTGTGATGGAGAGGTTAAAGCCTTCATGTGTGAAAGATACCTTGGGGCACCTCAGAAATGTCCAACATCCTGGACGCATTATGGATATAACTGTTATAAGGTGATAACTTTGCCAATAACTTTCTAAATACTTAATCATGTTTTTTTTAATGCGGACCAAAATTCTTTTTTTTAGTAATTTGTAGTAATTAAAAGTAAGCAAATATAAAAATGTATTTTTGTGTCATCTAAAGTACCAGTAAAATCTGTGAAATTTACCTATTTTTGGGTTGTAACAAATATTGTGAGTGGCTTATATTCACTTTTTATATAAGTGCAAATTTATTTACATTTAAGTGCAAATCCCAAAATGATTTTATAGATTAGTATATTTTTGTTATTGCTAATGTAATAAGTCTGCTTAACCCTAAACAGCCTGGGGGGGGGGGCGTTTGACCCCACCCCTTCTAGATTTTTTGTCCTAGCACTTTAATTTTTGACACTATCACCGTGATATTTTGTGACTTTTAATGTAAAGTAATTTAAAGGATTTTTTATAAAAAAATATGTTTTTTTTTAATTTATAGGGTAGGGTACAGGGCGGAAAAAAGTCTGGTCAGTGAAGACAAAAAAAATCTAAAATAGCCCATAACTTTTTGGTGACTAAAGCTACTGATATATAAACTACTAGAAATTCAAGGCGCTTCTGGCCCTTCTTTCTAGGCTTTTAGGGCGCTTCGCGCCCATCTTCTATTTAAATTGTGAACATGTTCTTTTTGTTTACATTTTAAAACAAAGAAAAAAATTTTAAGGATTTTTAAAAAAAAATTCGCGGATTTTCAAGAATTTAA